CGAGATGACCAAATGTCTCAGTGTTTCGATGACTTGAAGAAAGCAGAAGAAATTGCCAAACAATCTCACAAAGGGCTTTACTCAAAATCGCCTCCTCCTAAACAACGTATTACCGATTGTTCTAGTGCTGCAGTAAGTTAAATTATTTTTGTTCTAATAAATTAATATTGCTTAAATTATTTTTATGTTTAGGAATCTGCTCGTGCCAAGGCCCTGTTGCCTAGTTTGCAGCGTTTTCCAAGGTTTGAAGCTTTGGTTGAGTATGTTGCTAGTGGTTCTAGAATGCGTCTTTACGTTCGAAGAGAGTACTCGCTTATTACCTTCCTTTTGGCTGGTTAGTAAATAGGCAATATTTAATTGAATTAATATTATTTGTAATGCATGTTAATTGTTATCTACATAATTTAGTTACTGCTAATATCGAATAGTTCCATTTGTGCTATTTAATTGGAACTTGAACAATTTTAGGTATTACATGCCCAAGTGGTGAACGACTAAATCAAGGTGATGCACCCTCTGCGGCTGAAGCATACCATCAAGAAGCATTAGCGTTTACAAAAGAAAAGATAATGCACCGTGAAGTAGAAATTACTGTAGAATCCTGTAATAAGGGTGGAAGCATGATTGGTTGGCTGTTCATTGGTAATATCAATCTTTCTTTGGCACTTGTCAAAGAAGGACTGGCCAAAGTACACAGATCAGCTGAACGTTCAGAATATTTCAAACTTTTGCAACAGGCTGAGAAAGAAGCTAAGGACAAGAAAATTAACGTAAACATAATTTACAATACTCAATGAGTAAAATATTATTTTTTCAAACACTAATTAATTTTATGCCTTATTATTCTATATTTAGCTATGGAAGAATTATGTGGAGGAACCAGAAGAGGCAAACAATAACACCAGCAAACCTGTTCATGAAGAAGTAGTAAAGGAAAGAAAAACCAATTACGTTGAAGTGCTTGTATCAGAAGTCAGTCCTGAATTGCATGTCTATGTACAACCTATATCTGAAGGCCCCAAATTAGAAACTCTTACTGATAACTTGAGGAAACATTTTGATTCTAATCCTCCTATCGCCGGTTCTTTCAGTCCAAAACGAGGTAATTTATTATTCATATTTTTAAAATTTAATTTTCTAATTATATTATAATTGTTAATTATTATTCATATTTGTTTACTAAAATTTTAGGAGAAATATGTGCAGCTAAGTTCAAAGAAGATCAACAATGGTACCGTGCTAAAGTAGAAAAAGTTGCTGGCCCAAGTATACATGTTTTGTATATTGATTACGGTAACAGGGATGTGGTAACTGCTGATGAATGTGCTAATTTGCCACCAACCTTTAAAAATGATCGACCTTATGCCAAAGAGTATGGATTTGCACTTGTAAAGCTTCCAAAGCTGCCCGAATATCAAGAAGACTCCATTACTGTTGTGCGTGAAGAGTTCATTAACAAGACTATTAACATCAATGAAGAGTACACTTACGACAATCTTACACATATTACTGTGAAAGACGCTGACAAAAAAGAGGATCTTGTCAAGAAATTGGTTGAAGAAGGATTCTTGTTGGTTGAAAGACGTCGTGAAAGATATTTGCAAAAATTGGTAATACTTGTAATATTTATTGATCTATTATATATATATATATAAAATAATATAATCATTCTATTTGATTTTCTATATTGTTGACAGAGTACATTGAAGCTCAAGAAAAAGCTAAGAAGGATCGATTACATATGTGGGAATATGGTGACATCACAGAAGATGACGCTAAAGAATTTGGTTATGCAAAATGAAAGGTCTTTCTCTATCTTCAGAAGACTCATATCCACTGGTCAGGCCTTTTACAACTGTACAAAAACGTGTTTTACAAATTTATTAGTCAGCCATATTAATATCTAATCTTACATTCATTAATCTAAAAAATTGATAGATAATAATAAAGTTATTTATAAATTGATTATATTTTATTATGAATAATACTTTATTTTATTCATCTCGTTTTTTTGGTTGTTAACAAATTAAATATTTTAAAAATACGTACCATTTATTACTTGTAAAATTGTACTGAACTATTGTTCTATCTATATATATATATATAAAAAAAATTGTATCAATTATAATAGTTAAAATATTTTCAGTTTCACAAATTGTAACCATTTTTATGACATGATTTTGGGAATAGTATCACATAATAAGTGTATAATTTGAAATAAAAAATCATTTCAAACATGTGGGAAAAGATTGCCGAAAATTCAAAAAAAAATCCTTAAGTATAGTTTTGTTTGTAACTAATCCGATTTATTTAATTATAGGATTTTGGGAATAATTAAAAATTCATTGTACATATAAAATTTTAAATTGGCATGATTATATTGGCGTTATGAACTCGGAAGAGTTATCTTGTATTTTTAAAAATAATGTAAAAATGTTTTATTATTACTTAATGCTTTGCTGATACTTAATCTAAACCTTAAAATATTTTGTAAAACACAATTATGTCTGATGTGTAGTGTAAAGACTGTTCAGATGGATTATATTATCGATTTACATTATTTGCGTTTTCATTAATCATCCCGTCTGCATGTGTTCATCGCGGTATCGTATTCCTTAAAAATAAAATCTGTGTGTCTTATATATATATTATAATAAAAAATATGAATTGTGTGATGTACTTGTAGCAGGTTAGGATGTGTGTGTGATAATGATAAATTTGATTGTTGAATATTCGATTATCTACTATATGGTTGTTTCTGGTGTACGAGTACGACTTAATGCGTGCCACATTCGACCTATGCGTATGACCTGTCTTAACTATTTTTTACAAACATACTCTGTATATCAATGAAAATTATTGTCTTATCTAATCGCCGGCTGTAATTTTAGGCGTTCTGTATTATAATTTACGATGTTCGGGTTAATAGTGTGCACAGTAAGTGATTACATTAGCTGGTAAGCCACACGTTTTAAAATGGCCGTGATTGACTATGTGTAATGCCCGGACCGTGTGTAATTGTTATCGCATGCGTTTTGAGGTAAATGATAAGTATTCCTAAACGATTGTCTGAAATTACATACCTGTAAAAATATATTTTAACTTTATATAGAAAATCTTCGTACGAACCGTTCAGTTCAAGTACTATAGGCTATAGAATAACTTGAAAATTAATGATGTAATTAAACCTATAATATAGTACGACCGCACATCACTTTGCTGATTACTTTAAATGTCAAAAGAATAATTACGGTTTTTTTTTAATTAGGTATTTACAAGATATAAAAACCTACAACAGTTTTAGTGATAATTAATGATGTTAAAACTAAGTAGGTAGTACGATATTATAATTACTTAGACTCGTTTGTTACGAATCTCGCCGAGTATAATTAATAAAAACTTGTGTCTCGTATGTAGTTTAAAAAAAACTCAATAAACACAAGGAATCCAAAAGACTAAAAATATTGACAATCTAAACCTACCCACATCAAATAATACCACTAACTTCTTTCAGATAATAATCAATGAAATTTTCAAATAGACTTGCAGGATTTTTTTTTGTTTTTGTTCTATTTAAAATCAGTTTGCTATTTAATTAATAAATTATACAAATTCGATGCAATTTCATCAAAGCACACGTTTTGTATAATTTATCGATCTAAACGGAATTCGATAACCCTTGATGAACCGGAACCATTCTATTGCATTAAAAAGAACTTTTTTTTCAAGATTTAATCGAAACCGTAAACGCTGCGTACCGCGTTGGTTTATACTCCAATAGGCAATATTTAATAATGCTCATGAACGCACAGTGAAACGTTTTCGTCCTATTTTTTTTTTTTTATTATTATTACATGACTACCTACATTTTATAACCTAATATAGTTAAACACAGGTAAATAAATAATGTGCAAAATAAATATGAACGAAATCTACACTAGTAGGTATATCTACTACATGGATATATAAACGGTTGTATAATAAAACCAAAAAAAATAGTGTACAATTTTTTTTTTTTTAATCATTAAAATCATCTACGATCTGTAAAAAAACGTAATCGGATGATAAGCTGGCGAGTATAAAACTTAAAATTGATTTGAACGGAAAGGCGATCAGCATATTATTACCATATTGAATTTGGGTTTTTATTTTTTGCTCAACACTTTAAAGGGGTCTCCGAGCCGTTATCTTAAGAACGTTCTAGAGAAGTTATTAAAAAAAAAATTGAAAAAATTTCATAATTTATGTATGGTTTCAATCAAAGAACCGGCAGAGATGTTTAGATTTGAATAAAATTTGGACGGTTTGACCACTGTGGGTAGCTTAAAAGGTCTCGGAGGAGGTTTTTATTCGTTAAACTACACATCAAGAAGGCAGAAGAAATCATTCGTCGTCGATACACGGATTGAAAGGCGTGTAGTTTCGATGGACTTCGTATGGGACGTGTTAGAACAGTCTTAATGACACGAAAACGAGGCAACGCACTGCAATCGTGGTAGGTACAGAGATTGTAAGATGCTTTAAATATATATCGAATCTGAGGAGCTGGTATCGTTCGATCGATCGATCGTCACAAAGAGATCCAAATCCGATATCAAAAGGACAACGAATGTGACACGTGATTTTCGGTGGGCATTACACATGTCGTTTACGTGACGGGCACGGGGCAGCGCGACGTTGCGATTTATTTATTCGAATACACCCGGCAAAACAACGTTGTGGTCCGCCCCTCCAACATAACCTCAAAAAGTCAAAACGACAAAATCGATAAATTGCCGTCGGATATCGGACAAAATATTCATCCGAACGATTTTCGTTGGCACAAAAAGGCCGAAAAGTGACGAGGAAAATGACAAAACGACAATATTATAATTATTAACAATTAGTACCAAAAAAAATGGCATTAAGTCGGCGGCGGTGGTAGCGAAAACAGCTGTTTATTGGTCGTGACGTCACGACATTCGATGAACGGCGAGCAGAGCGCCGCCCGTAGTCGCGGCGGCCTACTTGTCTTTCTTTCGCATCGCATCGTCCGACACGCGCAGACCAGCCTTGTCTTGTTCAGCCAGCATACAGCTAGCTGTTCTTTTCCGTTCATTTTTACATAGTACTTTTACGACCTTTACACCACCTCACAATGGCCGAAACCAAAGCGCCTAAAGACCCGTACGCTTTTGTGAAAGATTTTTTGGCCGGCGGTATCTCCGCTGCCGTGTCGAAGACCGCCGTTGCTCCGATCGAGCGCGTCAAGCTTATCCTGCAAGTGCAGGCCGCTTCCACGCAGATCGCCGCTGACAAACAATACAAAGGTAAGGATATTTCATGATATTTTTACAAACAATCATGCGATCCGTTTGCAAACAGCCTTTAATAATAATGAATCCTAGTGGCTTATTGCCGAAATCGTATTCGGGTTTTTTACATGTCGAAATATTAGATCCGGGGACGCGGCGGCGGCGGCGCAATCGATTCTGGTGAATTAGGTTAGCGCGCGGCGGGCGGGGCTTCCGTCGTCGCCGTATACTTATTATCTGTGCCCGTCGTTTTTTTTTTTTTTTTGACCATCTTCCCAAATCCAATTTTATCGGTCACGTTAGATTTCTCATGTGTTAATATCAATTTATGATTCCTTGATGACTGCCTACAATTTTTTTTTACTCCGTTCTTATCGGTGCCCGCTGGGCTTCGTTGAGGTAGATCGCCATTTTGCTCCGTCCGTTTTGTCATGTTATTATTTCGTATTTAGGCGTTATACCTTTCCATTCCGGTTTTCGTGTGTTATATACGTCCTCACGGTTATTACGTACTTTTTAAGGTTAGGTATATTTCGATCATAGATTTCCATGTTTTTATGATTCACATTGAGATTATTAGGATCGTCGATCAGTAATAATATATTTTTCTGCATTAAAATTTAAAAGCATTATTGCGGTGGGGACGGAACTAACATACAACTCGCATGGAATTTTAGCAGTTCTCCGATCCTCACCAATAATGCAAACGTCACCTATCAGGCACGCCCCGCAGTTTGGCCGTACCACACATTATTACCGTTGGCTTGATCAATATTTATCGAATTCAGAATAATACTACGCTGTTTGATCGGAATTTGTTCTTTGAAACTTCTAATGGATCATAATAGGACGTTATTTTATATCGTACGTCGTTCTATTAAAATATCTAATGCATTTAATTAATCATTGCCATCCACGTTTCACGGCCAGAATCATTGATATAGTTTTTGATTTTTTACGATGAATTTTAATAGTTAAATAAAATATTGCCTTTTTACTGATATTATATTAATAAAAAGAAGGTATTGAGAATTTAAATACAAATTATTGAGTTAATGCTTATAGAAATTAGTTTGTAAGGGAAAGAATATTAATATTTTGTTACAGAACTTGCTTTCTTATATCATACATTTTTAGCTTTTAAATTCATTAAGATGTATTATGTCTTAAGTTACCTCTTATTTCAATATTATGTGTTCTATGTTTTAACATTTAAATTGACCTGTCCAAAAAAATATTCTTTTAAAGATTTATCCTATCTTTTAGAATCTATTATAATAGGAAAAAAAATTAATTTTCTAAATATGACAAATAGTACCTGATTAGTTATTATATATTCAAGTTGTTTTGATGCATATTGAATATAGATAATCAATTTTCTCTCCTTTATTAAATTAAAATATGGTACAGTAATTTACAACATAAAAATAATTTTAAATTTTATAATTTTTAAAAAGTGGTCAATTAAATGAAACAAATATATTGGAAATAATGAGAATTGAACTAAAATTTAGGAAAAGTAGAATGTTTGGAGAGGGATAACCTTAAAAAGACGACTAAAAAAAGTGTTATTGAAACAGAAATGTCTAACCCGTAAAATATTCAAGGTTTAAGAACCATACAATAAAACAAAATTGAATATTATCTGTTTAAAAAAAACTGAATTAACATTATTTTTTTATAAGTGATAATTAATACCTATGTATATATTTAGTTTTTTTTTTTTTAGTACTATTCATTGCCTTTTTTTTTAAACCTGTATTTCTTAACTGTTCAATATTTTGACATGAATTTGAGAAAAAAGAAAAGAGGTTATTCTTCAAGAGGGATAATGATTTCTATGTTTTTAAAATATCAATGTTCTACTTAAATATGAAAATAATTAATTTTTTTGACGATTATGTAAATGCTTAATAATTTTCTTTTTTTGCTTCATTAATATTATTTTTGTCTGTTTTTAGGAATTGTTGACTGTTTGGTAAGAATTCCAAAAGAACAAGGTTTTGCCAGTTTCTGGAGAGGTAATTTCGCCAATGTCATCAGATACTTCCCAACACAAGCATTAAACTTCGCTTTCAAGGATGTCTACAAACAATTGTTTATGGATGGTGTAGATAAAAAGACTCAGTTCTGGCGATATTTTGCTGGTAACTTGGCTTCTGGTGGTGCTGCTGGAGCAACATCTTTATGCTTTGTATATCCACTTGATTACGCTCGTACAAGGTGAGTAAACATTTTTCAACTACTTAGCTATCTAATAATAATTTTAATTTAAATTTCTAATATTATAGATTAGGAGCTGATGTTGGCAAAGGACCAGCTGAAAGGCAGTTCAAAGGTCTTGGTGATTGCATAGCTAAAACCGTCAAGTCTGATGGCCCTATCGGTCTGTACCGTGGTTTCTTTGTGTCCGTTCAGGGTATCATTATCTACCGTGCTGCATACTTTGGATTCTTCGACACAGCTAAGGGAATGTTGCCAGATCCCAAGAACACTCCATTCTTAGTTTCATGGGGTATTGCCCAATTTGTAACAACATTTGCTGGTATTATGTCCTATCCATTCGACACAGTCAGACGTCGTATGATGATGCAGTCTGGACGCGCTGCTGACCAACGCATGTACAAGAGCACAGTAGACTGCTGGTCTAAATTGTATAAGAACGAAGGAGTTTCTGCCTTCTTCAAGGGTGCATTCTCCAACGTACTTAGAGGTACTGGTGGTGCCTTGGTGTTGGTCTTCTACGACGAACTCAAAAACCTTATGTAAATTTCATTTTTAATGAAATTGAACAATATTGTGCAGTTTAAATGTAATTCGATGGACACTGTTGTAGCATAAACATTCCTAACAAGTGCAACATTTATTATTCATAACTGGGCTTCTCATTCCAATTTTTTTATGTATTATTCTGTACCGTATTTGTTTTAATTTTATCAGTTATGATCCAAATTTTTTAGAAAACCTACTAATGTAAACACAAACTATTAGGTCCGTACAATGGTTTATTTTTGATATTGTATTATTTACTTTATAATTAATAATAAACCATAGTTTAAAAAAAAATTATTATGTGTTTTATTTTTATAATCCACAAAAAACTAAAATAAAATACTTTAAAATCATGAATTTTATTGAATCTATTATTATAGTTACTTAATATATTAATGATTATAATTTGTTTGCTAGTATAATTTAAAATCTTTGTACTTTGTTTATTGTTGTATTGTTATATTTTATAATATATATAGTACATGTTGGAGACTTTTATCTAAATATCAAATCCAATTTATAAGCAATAGTACATAATTTGTCATGTATATTTAGACTAAATTATTATATCTATGCCTGTTAATTGTGTAGAAAGAATAAGACAAATTAAAGGTGAAATATATTATTTATATTTTTATTCTGATCATTACTAAATGGAACAACTAAGTATGTTTTAATAGTGCTTTCTTACAAGTGCATATTATTTCATATTTGATATGGTAATATTATAAACAATATACTTAATACTAATAGAAAATGTAAAGAACGCTTTTGAAATTGATCTTCATAATATGTGTTCGGGATAAAAAAATTAATATATTCATAGATAAATTAATTTTATACTTTTAGTTTAAATTTAGTTTTCTCGTAAATTTTATTTTTAGCAATAACTTATGTATAATAACACTTGCGTCACATTTTTTTTATAGACAGACTAAATGTCTGAAAAAAATAATGATCTTCTCCCCATAACAATTTAAGCTAATTTGTTGTATTTCAAAATAGATTCAGAACTATTCGCCATTTCATATTTCATGACTTCATTCTTTATTTTCTATACTATTCTTTAACAGTGGTTGATGGGAAATTAGAATTTTTCCTCCGTCTAAAATTAAGTGGTAGTACCCAATACCTTGATTATGTTCTGTCACAATATTTAAAAACCTTTAATTATGATCAAAATAATATTGATGCAAAAGAAATTTCGTTCCAGGGCTTTATGCATCTTTCACACGTATAACATTAAGCATGTAATATAATATATGTGTTGCTCTGGAGCAATTCTGATCCTTAATCCGACTCTCCCTTGATAATAATTCTTGGTGATAAAATATTCCTATTATCCCTATCCACCACTGTTCTTTAGCTATTTACCATAAATAAATTTACTCACTTTGTTTAATACATAATCAATAATACGTTCAGAATTGCTATGCCTTGGCAAGATGAATTCATACCCAAGAAGGTTCCAGTCGATCATTTTTTAAGGAGTAGGAACTAGGCAAATTGTGTGGCAGGTACATCTGGGTCATAATATATTATAGTGTATGCGCTATACACCAACATATCTCAACGGGCTGCGGGGACCGTAATCGTATTCTAAATTAATTTTGAGTGTTATTTTTAATTTTATTAATAATATTTTGACAAAATCGAACAATAAGCTACATTAATATTTTATAGTGTACACTACTATTATATCAATAAAGTTTGATACAGTCTTTGATCAACATTGATGTATGTATGCAAACGTAATGATATTATATCATCGAGTTAAAATTCAATACAACCATTACAGTGACCCATGGGCCATGAAGCACTCGACAACTAATGTATTACAGAGTGTGGAATATCACCTTGTCCACCTTTTTTTTTTTAATGTTTTAATATTTAAATAACTTCTGATCTACTTTAGGGAAAATGTTGAACTAATGAAAAAAAAATTCGTTTTAATAATATCGTCGAATGAAGAATATCTATTATTGTTTACTCACGCACTACGATACTTAAGAATGATGCACTATAACTATTAAGGCCTGAGTAAATTCGATTCTGTCATAGTAGACATAACTGTTAATTATGTCGACAGTCCAAGTCGTCGGATAAAATTTCCGAAAACATGTTATAGTTCTATAGGTACATTAATAGTATTGCTAGTAAATGACTCGGAAACGATGAAGTTGATTAGACGATTTAAAAAAGTCGTTTACGAGTAAACTACACGACAAATTTAATTGAATAAATACGTTAGGCTCTTGGTGGTGGTTAACACGATTGACAAAAGATAACATTTTTGACCGAAAAAAAAAACACCAAAATAATTAAATAATATGGTCGTGGAATACGTTATTAACATATTATTGTGTGAGATTATTACACACTATATAATCACAGAATAAACGATATTTCATTTTATTCTGGGCTGTAATAATAATCACTTGCTATGCATCTATGTACACATTAACATCACCCGCAAACACATTGAAAATTGCCTACACTAAACCCTTTTAAAACGATCGATATCGAATTCCTCGTGGAAAACTTACAACCACAAAATGTCAACGGTTTGCGTAAGTAGATTTATATATGTTACCTATATCTACCCTGTTTATAATTGGACTTATGACCCAGTTACTTTAGTACGATGACCTAATATTAAATTATTTTTATAGAATACCCATCAGAACACGTTGGAATTTTGCTACAGACGGAAAGCAAAGATACATACCTCCGCTTTACCTAATTTAATATCGCCATGGAAATAAAAAGCATTTGTCCGTTATAGTCTATGAAAAAGGCGAAACGATTCAGTTTAAAAGATCTATCGGGTAATTATAATTATTAGGAACCGAGTATTTTTTGATAGTTGGCTATAAATGCAGATTATAACATGGTCATTTTTCAATTTTTTGAAATTTGTGGAATCGTGTCAAATAAGTAATAACATTTGGAATGCGGTTCAATTGCACGGAAACGGACAATTTTAGTGTAAAAAGATCAAATTAAAAATAAAAATCAATGAATTATGTATGCGTGCCAAATAGGCATATAGGTATATCGATGAAAATTCAATATTTTGATAAACGCGCTGCCGATTAATCATGAGTAAACGTTATTCATACAATCATACTGCCTACACATAGGTGTATCTGAAGATCGCCATCGAGAACAATCGTTTTCTTTCGTACGTACTATACGTCATGCGTACGTCGTATGTACTATATACGTACCTATAGGTATTCATTCAAGTTCAGTCGTTCAGTGTGGGATTTATCAGCCGTTAAACGACATCGGAACAATAATGTGAAAACACAATGACAAACAAGCGCTTACAAAAATATTTACCTATATATTATACGACGATTACAATTTACAATGTATAATAATATGTGTAAGTACCTGCATAGAAAAAGAGCAATAACCAGTGCCGAGTACTTTATATATATATATTGTAAATTGTTGTTAATATTATAATAACATTAAACGCGTCGTCGCACCGTAATAATAATAATAATTATGTTATTTTATAGTGACGCGACGCTGCAGCAATAACCGTACATGTATATCGAGACTGACTCATTTTTCAAACATCCCTCGCGCGACGGGAAAACTATGATAGGCGCACTGCGCCCCACACAGTAGAGCGTCTTTTCTCGAGAACAAGTCTGCAGTCGTTTTACACGCACACAAGTCGTGCAATACAACCGAGTCGCGTTGAACCCAACATACGATCGTCATAGGATACGTCAACGGTCGTACCGTTGATATCGCACGACAGAGCTGGATAGCTCAAGAGCACAAGTATATTGGCGGAGCGTCGTAGCTGGCAGGCGAGTTCCGGTAAACGACGACATTTTTTACTTCCACCGGTTTGTTTTTCGTCGTTTGCGCTCGAGTCCCTAGCGATTCTGTTGCACGCGTTTTCGGATCGAAACGCTTTATCCGAACACTTCCTTCCGTTCCGTCGTCCGCGGGCGGGTGCACCGCGACCATGCAGGAAGATTCGTCCGATTCGAACGGCGAGGGCGGCTGTTCACCGACTCCCAACGAATACGCGTCCAACACGACCAAGCGACAAGTGTACTTGGAATTTTCCGAGTTCAGTCCGGCGCAGATACGAAAGATCGAAGACATTTTCAACCAGTACGTAAAAGTTAGATACGCGTATTACGTATACATGCTGCAAATGCGATTTAAACGCGCGCGCGCACGCGGGTCGACGTATTGTCATGGGGGCTGCTGTATGCCCCGCGTACCTATCTAGTATTATAATTTGTGTGCTCGACGGTAAACCATATCGTTTTAACTCATTGAATGTCTTGTAATATTACTCTACTTCGTGCGGTCCAGATAGGCTCTCTGTAGAGTGTAGATAGTAGGTACTACAGACCAATTTTTATATTAACGGATTAAAATTATATACGCAAGCAGGTACCCATTGGCCATTGGCTAATAGCCAATATAGGTCTGTGGTCCGCACTCTGTCTACCGTTAAAATTTAAAATTAAATATAATTTTCCGAATAAGATTTCAAAATAATGGAAAATTTTCGTTTAATTTGACGCATAATATATCAAATATTTTTTCCCATACTTTTCTTGTTTTATATTTTTACTTTTACCATTCAAATATACTAAATATAGTGAATGACCCAAAATCGTACACGACAAATTAATTCTAAATAATAAAGTGTAGGTACCTATATAATATTGAGTAGGCTTGATGACTATAGCTAAGCTGGATAAGTTAGCAATAAGTATTAATAGTTAATGAACAGTATATTTTTAAAAGGTTAAAGTTAATCTGAAAAAAAATATTAAATTGACTTGGTTAAAAAAAATGACGTTAATTCTTTTTTTAATTACCGCACAGATTAGTCAAATAGTGATCATGCAGTATCAATTTTTATTTAAATATATATATATATATCTTAAATGTATTCCATACTATGTCTTCATATTAGTATATTACACCTTAGCAACTGTTCCTACCTTGAGTACCTTTCTAATTAGATACATGTTTATGATTTACATAAACTATAATATGATTAAATTTAAAAATATATAATTTTGTTTTGTATTTAAAATTATTTTATACCAATTGGTATTTAAATAAAACTATTATCCAATTTGACTACATTTATATATGTAGGTATATGTATAAGTACCTAGCATAATTTTAACTTAAAACATTATTTTTCAATTAAATGAAAATAGTTTAATTGTTATATCCTATATTTTCTTTAGCTAGTTGGGTCAACTTTATTTTTGAACTAATATATACCTATATTATTCTAATAATAATATTTTGCTTAGAAATATTTAAATATACAATCAATCTTTACTTAAATGTGGTATAATAAGTTCAATATTGTGATTATTAGTTTATTTACAAAACATGCATACATAAATGAAAAGAAATCATAAATAGAACTCTTAAAGTTATTTTGTATAAAATTATTTAAAAATAAATAAATAATATTTATGTATAGGTATGATGCAAACAAAGATGGATACCTATGTCGAAATGAATTGAAACGAATGATGATCAAACGTCGAGTTCCATGGACTGAAAACTCATTAAATCAACTGATTGATGATGTAGATAAAGACAAAGACGGAAAATTGACTTTTAGAGAAGTATGTTTAAATTCATCTATTATAACTTAATAGAATATGATAATTATTTTAATTTAAGTAATTAATGTAAATAAAAATGACTTATTTAACCAAATAAAAAATGTATGTACTTAATATTGTTAAGTTTGTTATGACTAATCGTAAAACTTTGGAATACTGTCAGCGTGCATTGGCCAGACAAGAAAAAGTTGACTTTAACAAAGTTGGTATAAAAGGCGTTAGAGACTTCTTTGAGGCAAAGGTATACTAGTATATTACTAATCAATTTAAATCAAATGTTTGGGATTGTTAAATATTTTTTTATATCTTTCAGGCTAAATATTCCAAATAAGCAGTGCTGCAGTTTTAGAAAGATGTATTGAAGGAAAAGTCCAATCTACCAGTGTCCAGTAATAATATATAATAATTATTTTCTACCTACAATTTTTGATATTATATTGTACATATTTATTAAATAATGTTGCAATATATCAAGCAACATTAAAAATTAAGTACAATATCATTAAACAAGTTTATTAGTAATTTGTTTATAAAAATCATATTTACTACAACTACAATAATTTAAAATGTATAATCTATTTTAATACTCATTTATAAATAATAAATGTTAATTTAATATAGTAATAAAGCACATTTTAGTGTATGAGATACTATACTAAAAAAAAAAAAAATAATAATATACATTATTCTTTAAGATTCCTACAAATTATTATGTACATCCAAAAAATTTAGTTGTATATACTAACAGAACATAAACAGACGATGAAAAGTATAATCTGTATAAATTACCTTTCACTTTATCATTGAGCTTCCATTATTATTTTATGTCAAGGTATGTTTTTTTATATGATATGTAATATTTTGGATTTTACAAAATCATCTTTTTAAAAAATTGGTTAAACACATTAATAAACATGATTTACAAAATGTATATAACCTCCTAACAATGATTTATTGCTAATTATACGTTGAAATGTTATCTTTAGGTTGTGTAATAATATATGAATATAATAAGAAGCGTATAAAGAATTAATACAATTTAAGATATATCAACTAAAAATATATTTTGTATAATATTGTTACTAGGCAAGTAATTTAATTGACAAAAAAATATTTAATTTTACTATACTTTTATAAAAAAAAAAACTTCAAATGTTTAAAAAATTATAAAATTACATTGGTATTTATAATTCTGGATGTAGTAAACAACAACAATTAAATTTTATTACAGTATATAAAATCTAAAATGGTAGAATTAATCTTCAAAGAATTATTTTAAATAGTAATTAAATCCTAATCTTATTATTACTAAATTATATCAAATAATAGTCTTATTACATTTAAAAATATCACAAAGTTAAAATAGATAACAAAAAGGTAGTTTAATTCTTTTTACTATCAATTGTTGTTTATCTAAAGATCAAATCATCAATTTCATTTAGTAATTTCGACACTGCCAAACCATCATACTGTAATGTTAATTCTGGACTAGTATTAATGCCGTTCATTTCTATTCGCTGGACATTATCAAAATTCGGTCTGTAATAATCATATAACTTGGGTTCTGGATTTTTTGTTGAATGCAGTTCCCTAGGCTTGGGTTTTGTTGCAGTATTTAAATTGCTATTTAATCCGATATTCATCATGTTATTATAGTCGTACACATGTTTGGTAAATGGAAAATTCACCTCCCTGACTCCTCTCTGAATATTGACAAAAATAATACAGTTAGAAATAATTTGACGTACACTTACGAGCATTATTGTACATACTTTGACCGTATTTGGTTTGGGCTCCAAACGAGAATGTGTAATGTTCCTCAACTTTGCCTCTGTTTGAATAATAGATGAATACAAAGTAGGTTTAGGCACAACATACCTACAGTTTTTACGACGACAGGCGTTTTCGTTATTATCATCTTGTTTTTTTGATAGTTTGTTATTTGTCTTAGGCTTATTCATTTTTATAAATTATTTAGAAACAAAGTATTAAGTTACAACGTTTCGTAACTAGGTACAATTTGAGTTTTGAATTTGTAAATGTTCAGCATTGAATATTATTATGATAAATTTAAAATTACGAGTTCAGAGTTACAAATTGACAACAATACAACTAAATGATTCAATTTGAAATTTCGATACACATTACACAATATCTGTAACGCATTTTTACTGTATTTGTATTATGTTTTGATAACAAATGATAACAATGTTTCGTTGCAAGCAGTGCAGCCAAAACTCAAAATCAATATTTAATAATTATAATAATAGGTATGGTTTTCAAATTTAAAATTCTATAATATTATTGTCATAATGTCAATTTAGCTGCCTATTCTATGCACGAGAAGGATAAAATCAAAACATGAGGAAAAAATGTTTTTTTCAAACATAAATTATTCATCAATAACTATGGGCATAATATTTGTCTAACCAGTCGGCAGTATTTCGCTACTGTGAGAGGTATCGTATTTTTATTAACTTTATACATTCTTATCTCGAGAAATACAGAGTAAATGCATATAGTACATACGGCGTGTCTAAGATATCTATTTACAATACATATTTCAGAATTTAAGCTTATGATTCGTCAAACGCTTGTGATATACCTCCACTAAGATTGGGTAACATTTATTTGATGCGGAAATATGATGACAAAAATTATAAATATTTACTAAAACTCTGACAAATACCTTTTCACCAAATTATGTAAATATGTAATTAATATCGAAACAGAAAATATTGATATAATTTGAATATTTTTTCCTGAAAGCCACTTCCACACACTACTCCTAATGAAAAATGAAATAATTAAAAAAAATTGTCAAACGAATAATCACTTGGACACGATGTCATCATAAACGTGATAATAAAAGATATTTCTAAAAATTCAATCACATACATATCTATTTTACTTTATTGAAATACTGAAATTTAGCTAACTAAAATAATTCATCGATTACTTTCCAACCGCACAGAAAAAAGCTTTGACAATAATGATAAAAAAAACCCCCGAACAGTTAACGATTCTTCAGTGTCAAAAATATTTGAAAAATAATGTTGTGTTTTAGATCTAGATTAATAAACAACTTAAATTCAATCAAAGTAATAACACATTTCCTGTTTAGTTTTGAATCAAAACATTCAATATCTAATAAATTTCTCAGTCTAACCGAATAAATAGATGATAGTTTCGAAAATGAAACTCCGTACCGGTGCAGTATTTTTAGATGTAGCGCAAGCCCTTGATCGCATCTGAGTTATCTGACACAATTGCCTTCTATACAAACTAAAAACGCTAAAAAAATCTCGTCTGTAATTTTTAATCTAATTAAATTGTTTTTCTCTTCTCGTTGTTTTCCCGTTCGCATAAACGGCTCCAACCACAAGAAACATAAAAGTGAGAAAATTTTTATACACTGACTATACTATTGCTTATTCAAGATCCAGTGACACTTGTATATAATTACTGACAATTTTTCAATATACATGCAAAATTCAGTTTTGCAGGATGAAAATTATTCTAAACTCTTCAAATAACACAGCTGTGTTATTCACATTTCATTGATCTAAGACTTATACATCTTTAAAATTTAATAGTTACAAACTAAAACATGTAAACCGCGTGCAATATTATCATTTAAGCAACAATATGCTCTTTGTCAGCTCAAACAAAGATGACCCTATCATTTTCTTACACAATAATGGTTATAATAATAAAAATAATTAAAAATATATAACTATATCAAAAAAATAACACTATTGTATTTATTTTTTATTATTAGTGCCACTACTTATACGACTTTTATTATTGTTACATAATTCTTATAATCTTATTGTTATAATTGTTATAGCTATTATATCTTTACAACAATTTATTACAACTGACATCTGCGTATTATAAGTCTCCCTCTCCCCCAATTATTGTACATTTTTGTACATAATTATTGCTATCTATTGTTTTATAACGTCAAAAATTATATTCTTATCACATTAAGTTTAGATGACCTTGTCAGGAAAACTTTATTTTAATAATAAAAAAAAAACCATATACCTATGTATAATCGTACCTAATAAAGGTAAAAGGTTTAAGTGCAATTAAGTTTAGATAGGCCTTGGGTTATTACCTACTTATAACATAAAATATAAGCTACTTATATAATTCAAAAATAAAAATAAGTAAATAATTTAATCATTTTAACTTTAAACATTTAAGATTTATTGTTAAAATAAATATTTTTGCAATTATTATAGGTAACTATTAAACATTGATTACGATCAAATATTAATAATTAATATTGTAAATAATTATATCTGTTATAAATCGTATGTCTATTATCAATCCATAACTACTTTATATAATCACTTGCCATAATATTAACACGAATAATTTGCAGTATTATTATTATTATTATTATGATTATAAAACACTATAATATATGAACTCATTATTTTTCAATTTTACACATGTAGGTGGTATGGAAAATTTGTTTCATGGCGTTAGATAAAATTATATATTTTATAGTAATCACTTCAAAATATCTAAGTAAGTAGTAACTAGATAACTATAGATATAATATTATACTAAGTACCTATTATTTATGTTATACTTAAATGCATTATGTTGTATAGTATTTATTTTGTACAGGTGTTGTGTAATTATCTGTAAGGTCACGAAAAAGGTAGGTACTATTGACTAGTAGACTTGTGCTGAAACTGTTGTTTGCCAGTCAGGGTTTTTTATCATCATAATTTTATTTTCTGCGATACTGCTTACAGTACATACATGCATACAGTTTGTTTTCCGTACATATATACGATCATAAAATAGAAAATTAATTTTGTTAAGTTACCTAATCTATTTATCAAAAATCAGATTAATCTAGTTTTTTTTATCTTATACCAAATTACCAACTATACATGCACTTTTTTAATATACAACTCGGTATTATTTGATACAAATCAATTCTGAATATGACTGTAAATACATTAATTTAATGGCGCATGATAAATGATAATAGGCGAGGCACTGAAGCTCATAACCTTGCCAGTATGAAATAATTTTGTTATTACAAATTAATTATTATTGATATCCTTTCACGTAAAACTAAGTTTTGCTCTGCTTGAGTTCTTATAAATTTAAACTTATTGCAATAGAAGTTTTATGTTTTTTGGTGATTTCAGATTTATAACTCCTTAGCTTAAAATCTATGCTAAATTCTACATTATTATCCGTCGAGGTGTTACATTTTCAGATTAAAATAATTATGCTATGTATTTGTGTAGTATTACTCTAATGATCTGTAAATTGTTATTGATCTATTCTAACAAATTAAGTAATGTAATGTATTGGCTATTCCTTAGGAATGGTTATAGTTTATTAATTCCTAAGGAATAATAATAATAGTTTATTTATGTTATTCAGTGGTTTACCTAATATCTTAATTTGAATAAACGAAGACAGGCTTATTGCAAAAACTACACTAGTCTACTTTTTTAAAATTTTCAGGGTGATCTAAAATCACTTTTATGGTTTAAATATTATACGTACTTAGTAGTACTTACCTACTTGTTATTTTGAATTATATGAAAAGTACCTATTGAACGTGTATGGATATTGTTGATTCATCTATGTTTTACATATATGTATTTTATAAAAATGTAACGAACTTGACCCGCATATAGGTACTTTCTGGTTTTTTCCCCATAATATAATATTTATTTATTTTTTCATGAAAAAATTAGTCATTTATTTTTAAATGAAACAAAACTATAATTGTCATTAAGCAAGTTGTAGAATGTATGCATAATACTCATAATATTTACTATTATCATGTTAAAATATGACCAATGTTTGTTGCAGACAAAATAAGATAAGTCTGGTCTTGCACGATTCTAGGTTACACTAAAAAAAAAATAGAAACCAAATAAGTCCATTTACTGTATAAACTATACTTGTGTAATATACAGCAGACTAATCTAAATCAACTAATCTGGTCGTTTCACCAATTTGCAAGGATTTTTTTCCCTCTATTTAATTCTGTTAAAAAGTGCATTTGTTTGGTCTTTACAGCGAGCTCTTTAATTCTGCTTTACAAAATGAATAAGACGAATATCAATTGTTCATATTTCTATATTACAAATGGGTTTTCGATAAACACCGTGTCAAAAACTGTTACGACACGCTATTATAATTATAATAATATGAGCATTGGTATATAATTAATAAATTCAGATGCGTCCTTACTAATTCGTTGTAATCAGGATTGGGTGTCGGTGTTTTGGTTGGTAAAACGGTGTGATATAGAACAATATTGTAATGTATTAAGGCAGGTCACGTTACGCCAGAGAGAGAGAGAAAGAGAGAGAGGAATACAGCAATTAGTAGTGCAGACTGCAGATATATATTATGGTACTATTTAGAAACGCTCAGACACATAGTATTATTAAAATCTCGTGCATTAGCGACGTTATTGTTATAAATTATAATCGTTTCGACGATAGTCCGTCGATATATTATCGTACACGTATATCATGTATGCACATCTTAGTGGTATTGACTCGTGTTCGTATATATATATCGTGAGTGAATTATGATAAACACAAGACAATATATTATTATTATTGTTGGACAATAATCGTTGCATTTTGTACGCCGCTTATACTATATCCGCGCATAATATGTCGATTTAAAAGAATTGAAAATAAAAAATAATAACAGCCGATATCATATTATACATATATACGTAAACACGTGCATTATTACGAACAAGCGGAATATAACGCCGCGGGTACGCGTACGCTGCAAGTAGGTACCCACAACATTTTCGTACATTTCACAGGTCGGCTGATGGGCGCGCGACCTTGTTTCGGCTCTAAACAAACCACCGTCACAATATAATAATTATATTATAATACGTACATTGTACACTTTCACTGTCGCCACCGCCGAAGACTCGAACCGGGCGGCGGCGGCGGCGGCGGCACGCACCGAGTCGACTTTCTCCCAGCTCGCGCGCTCACAGACTGCAACAACGCAGACCCGACTACGCGCTACCTCCGGGTCCACCACGTAAACAGCGAACACACAGTTCGTCAACACGGTTCGTTCGCGACGCACGCCCGTCGAAGTACGACGGTGGTT